CCTTCTGCTGTGTATATATCGACGCCATTAGCAACTAGGCCATTGATGTTTTGTTGGGAATTAATTCATATCCGATTAAAGCCCCTAATTTCTTCTGAATGTCCTCGTCCCCTTAATAGGGATGTCCCCTGAATATGAATGTCCCGAAAGGAGGGGTTCTAATGTATATTTTGCTGTAGTCGCCACTGAATGATATAGTTGCAGTCATATGCGGATGGGGGGAAGCTGCCCCACCCTGAACCCCGTCGAGGAGAAAAAGCACAGTTCGTCGGGGAGAAACAACAATTGTATGTATTTTCTACATATTAGTAGACTCTAATATCGATTAAATAAGCCTTTGAAACCCTTAAATTGTCAAAATATAAAAACTGTCTAAACCTTTTTATCGTAGCTCGACCACACCCACTTTGCTTTCGTCGGGAACGAAATAGTATTTCGAGGGAACGAAATATTATTTCGAGGGAACGCAATATTATTCCGAGGGAACGAAATATTATTTCGAGGGAACAAAATAATATTTTGAAGGAACGAAATAATATTTCGAGGGAACGAAACAATATTTCGAGAACGAAATAATATTTTGAGAGAACGAAATAATATTTCGAGGAAACGAAATAATATGTCGAGGGAACGAAATGATTAAGAAGGAACGAAATAATATTTCGAGGAAACGAAATAATATTTCGTTCGAAAAACATCCCAGACCACATTATTTCGAAAACGGATCAACTGATCTGAATGAAACATTCGGAAAAAGTTTAACCAAGTTACAAGGAAGAATTTATTATGTGCTAGCGACGAATCAGTCAAGGATGTAAATGGGAGGGATATTTCAATTTTTGAGGACCCAGACTTAAATCTCTTTAAAAAATATCAAAGGGTATAATTTAAACCTTGTATATAACAGTTGGTCAAGGTTGAGCAAAGAAATGATAAAATATTTGTGACAATCTAAAGTAGGGTGTAGATCTGAGGACCATTGAAAGGAAAACGTCCCAGGCCACTTATTTTGAAAACGGATCAACTGATCTGAATCAAACATTCGGAAAATGTTTAACCAAGTTACAAGGAAGATAATATTATGTGTTGGCGAAGAATCAGTCAAGTGTGTACATTGGAGGGTCATTTAACTTTTTGAGATCCCAGACGTAAACATCTATAAAAAGTTTTCAATGGGTGTAAATGTAAATCTATGTAATAGTTTGTAAAGGTCCAGTAAAGAAATGACTGAATTTTGAGGACCATTTAAAGGAAAACGTCCCAGACCAGATATTTCAAAAACTGATTTGAATAAAACTTTTTGGAAAGTTTAACCCAAGTTACAAAGAAGATATTATAATGTGTAGGGGAAGATCTAGGTTAGGGTGTAAATTTGAGGGTCATTTAAATTGCTTACGTCCCAGTTATAGATGGATAAAAATGACACTTTGCAAAATAGTTTTTTCATGGTGAAATAAAGAAATGATCCAATTTTTGTGACGATCTGCAGTGTGGATATGACGATCATTTAAAGATTTTTGGTTGATAGTTTTTAAAATTATTTAAAAACAATTTGCGTTTTCTAAAGCGCTTAAACCAGTTACTGCTATGTTAAACTCAAAACTACCGTGATATGCATGAACAATTTTTGCTTTCAGTCATTAAATTGCTAAGAACTGAATATGAACTTTGCTATGCAAGGTCGGCCCATATAGCGTGCAGTTGGTTATGGGTCACGATGAACCTCGCTATTACCATTGCGCCATAGTTCAGGTCTCACTAAACATCGCAGTAAACTTGATTTTCCTTCTTCTTTTTTTTTGTTCCCCAATTCATTTTTTCCACTTCATTAAAATTATATTGGTTTTTTGTGTTTTTTTTTTTTTACTTTATAGCTTTTAACGACTTCTCTTTTTGTTGCAATTTCAACTTAATTTCTCATTAAAGGAATGGGAAAAAGCCCTATGTTCTGTTGTTGAAACAGGCATAGTATGTCTAGTTTTTATTATTTTTTGTTTGGTTTTTTACTTATATGATGATGATGATGATAAATTGCCTCTAAATCAACCTGAATGTGTATAAAACCCATGGCATTCTGATTTTCAGCTCTAAAAGTGGCCGATAATGCTCTAAAATGTGCTGCTCAAGCGATAAAAACTGGCACTAGAGTTTTCGGCGTAGTAGCTGGTGCAGCTGTCATTGCGATTGACATATACAGTATCGTCAAAACAGCTATGGAAATGCACAAGGGTTCACCTGACAAGGCCGCTGAAAACATCAGGGAAGCTGCTAACGAACTGGAGAGGAGGACACTGCCTGAACTAAAAGATCTGATCATTCAGGCGAGACTGGAAGCTGCGGAAGAAAGTGGAATACCAAGGGTTACTGCTGAAGACGTACAGATATAATCAGTATTTATTCTTTCTAATCCGATTAATAGGCGTTTTTTTAAAGAAATATTGACTTGGGGCATGAAAGTTTAGTATGGGATCAATGATTGTAAGGGTGCGTTACCTGACATAACACAATGATCAGAGGTGTCTTTAACTAATTTAAATTATATGTATTAAGTACATATGAGCACAAACAGAATAAATTTACTTAGAGCCCCATTCCTGGCAAGATTTTAGTTATGAAAAATCTGATTTTTATATAATTTTATAAAGATTTATAAACGTAATACGAAATTGCTAATTCAACTGAATTTAGACATTCCTAAACATGAAAAAAATGTAAAATCAGACTGAAATTTGATTTTTTTTTGTGTTCCACACAAAAAATAAATGCGGATGGATTTTTTTATGTTTGATTTTGCGATAGGTCTGCGAAGAAACATAGTAGGCGCCGAAAACGTTAGCCTATCCAACACTGCTAGGCTAGGCCAGCCTTACCTCGATTTAGGTTTTGTTATCACACATAAAAACGGCCGACATGATATTTTCCGTTGCCAGTATTGACACGAATTATTTCAAATCTGTTGATTCTGACCGAGATTTTGACAATCAAACAAACATAGCTCAGGAGGCCTACTCGATCGATCGCAGTGTGCGAGATGCAAAGTACAAAAACCAATTTCATTAGAGAGGGCGCACTTTATTGACTGTATAAAGTATATATAAAAGCGAGAGCATTTCAGCCTCTCAATTTGCCTAGTATTAACGAAGAATTCGTCGAGAAAATGGTAATCTCCTATGGGAAATAGTCTATATTTCTAATTTTGTTTATTTTTTTGCGTAAAACTAATATGCCAATATTTTTCCATTGTTTATAATAAATTGTGTAATGCATAGGCCTATGCATTTAAAAAAAAGGTTTAAGGTTTTACTTATCAATAAATGCTTAGTATAATGGTATAATAATGGTATACATTATTATACCATTATATATACCTATATATGAGATATATTAAAGGGCAGTGAAATTCAATTTTACTGTGCCCCGTTTACAAAACGATAACGAGTTAATATGAAGAAATATGTTTATACATTGGATTCAATTCTTATGCGTGTAACGGAAGCAATTGATTCTTTAGCAAATAATAATTACATATTTTTAGTTTAGTTAAACTGAGGGTGATTTCATTTTCTTCTTTTACGCTGATTTACTTGTAAATAGTTTTGTATATTACGTTGGATATGGCAAGACTAGACGTTTAAATACAATCTAATTTTCAATTGAATAAAAAAAAATCAGATTGATTAGGCTTAACCTTGAAGTTGTTTCCTTTTAAAATATTAATAAAAGATACTAACATTTTATTCTATTTTATTATCTATTTTTAGAAAAGAGAGATGGAAATGAGGTGTGATATTTCATGTTTAACATTTAATTTGGTTGCTTTGTTATATATAATTTATCTTATGTTATGATATGTGAAAGGCAAAAATATAATATTGTAACAAAATGGTGCAGCCCACCCCCCTATTATAAATATATTAGGCCACTCCCTAATGCTGGGAGCCGATTGGCTATCGAAAAATAGCTGGGTTGGGATCTTAAGACCCATCGCCCAAGACATGTAGTAGTTGAGCTCTGGATCTCATGAAGTTTAGAACTGGGAAATCCCGAAGTTAGTGTTAAGTAAGGTAGGACCTGTAGTAATTCTACAAAATAGTTTATAGTCGAACTCAGTCATTAAGACTT